ATTCATCTTACATTTCCATCTAAACGGCACATGTGGTTAAATTAAACAAAACGGGAAATATAGACGACCCAGGAAAGCCGCACATGTGCGTGAGTCGGCGAGGACGCGCAGTGGCGACTGGCGATTACCAAGAAGGCAAAGGCCAGGTAAATGCGCCGCGCGCCTGGGTGTGCAGCGAGCGGCCAGCCATACGTAAGGTTGTGCCTAAGTGCATGCAGTCCGAGCAAACTGTTGTTTTTTGAGACAATGGGCAGCAGCCTCTCATTCATTCCTTAATTGTTCAGTACACATAATTGCCCTGATAATCTCAGGAGGCTCATCTAACCAAGAGGATCCATGGTCATGTTCTGCCGACCTGGCCAGAACATGGGCTGCCTCATTACATACTCGACTAACATACTTAAAGGTACATGATACAAACTTTTTGGCTCTCAGTTTAATATCATGAACAATGGCACCTGTCGAAGTCCTATCCTGCCCCTGCTGTTGCAGCTTATTAACAAGTGAGAGACAATCAGACGCAATTTGAAATGACTGAACTCCTATGCTTTCGGCAAGCTTGAGCGCCTGGAGAATGGCTACTGCTTCAGCAACTTCAGGACATTGCACATGATCAACAGAGCCTCGACAAGCAGCCTGCATAACCCCTAGATGATTACGCATGATAACACCATACCCAACATTTGAAGTACTGGAGAAGATCGCAGCGTCTACGTTGATCAACATTAGTCCCTCTGGTGGCGGAGTCCATTTCTTGACTGACTTCAAGGCCTCACGCCTACTGACGCCTTCAGATCTGACATTGTTCAACAAGATAAAATCAATGTAAGCTTTAATCTGTCCGGAAACACGCAGGGGATGAGGTAAGGCCTCACCATTTCGGCACGAATTCCTATTGTCCCAAATGTGCCATAAAGCTACTGCAAATATCATGGAGTGGATCTCCGAGGCTTCAGATATCCAATCCAACACCCATTGCCTGATATGAGAAAAGTTTTTTAGATTCAGGCAGATACCATACTCCTTTTTTAGGTCCTTCCAAATTTCTTTAACATATTCGCAGTGAAGAAAACAATGTTCAACATTCTCCATGCGGTTACAAAAATAGCAGCCATACCTTGTTGGAATCGACCGCACCTGGAGTTGAGTTCCCGTGGGTAGACAGTTGTGGGATATCCTCCATAATACAACCTTCATTTTGTTTGGGCAGTTGATCGCCCATAATTTCTTCCAGGCTATCTCCATAATTCTTTGTTTTGAAGATGCTCCCTTGCCGTCAAAACTTTGAGTTTTCCAGAACAATTGTGATCTGGCTAGATTGTAAGCAGACCTGACAGAGTATATCCCATTTTTTGTGTACGGCCAAGAGGGAAAATCATTGCAGCCTTCAGAGCTTATGGGAATGCTGAGGATCTTCTTTGATATTTCTTCAGAGAAGAATTCTCTTACTGAATTTGTGTTCCAATGTTTCCCATTCTCCTCCATTAGAGCATTAACCGTTTGGTTGTCAGAAAATGCATGAGAAGTATTTAAAGTGCCAGGAGTCACCTACGGTATCCAAGTATCTCTAAGGATTTTAATGGTCTTTCCGTTCCCAACTCTCCACATGATACCTTGCTGCAAGAGTTTTTTACCATGCATAATACTACGCCAGGTATATGATGATGATCTTGGGCACCGAGCCGGCCAGAAATCCCCGTCTGGCAAGTAGCGTCCCTTCATCACCCGTGCACACAGCGACTGAGGCTCCGTTAGTAGGCGCCAACCTTGTTTTCCGAGCATAGCTTGGTTAAAGATTGTCATGTCACGAAAGCCCATGCCTCCCAAATATTTTGGGGTGGATAACCAATCCCATGATCTCCAATGAACCTTCTTCTTCCCATTTTCCATTCCCCACCAGAAGTTGCATATAGGCTTCTTCAATTTGTTGCACACTCCCATGGGAATCTGAAAGCAGCTCATCACATATGTGAGAATCGCTTGAGCTACTGCTTTTAAGAGGACTTCTTTCCCAGCCCTGGATAGAGGCCGATCACTCCAACCATTTAGTTGTTTCCAAAGCCGACCAGTGAGAAAGTTAAAGCTATTCGATGGGGAACGTCCCACCCACATCGGCATGCCAAGATAAGTGTCCTGCAGTTTATCATCTTGTATCCCAACATTTTGTTTTATTCTATCTTTCACTAATTCCTCACAGTGAGGGCCAAAGAATATGGACGACTTTTGCATGTTGATTCTCTGCCCAGAACCATCACAATAGATATGTAATACAGATTTAAGCGCATTAACACTTTTATCGTCTCCCTGATGAAGAACACGCTGTCATCAGCAAATAGGAGATGTGAAATAGAAGGGCATGTTTTCCCATTGCGAATACCTTTCAACTCCCCTGATTCTTCTTTTTCCGAGTCGCAGAAACCTTCTGGAATGTCATGGCCCATAAGAAATCCTTTTACAGCAGCACATATGTCTTCTTCCAGTAGGTCCCAATGTTTTTGATAAAAGAGTGTCGGGAAACCATCAGGCCCTAGGGCCTTAGTAGGTCCCATTTGGAAAAGAGCAGCCTTGATTTCATCATTTGTGTACTCTCGACATAGGGCTTCATTCATTTGTTCAGTAACTTTCTTTGGTATAGCTTCAAGTACTGCATCAATTGAAACTGAGGGTTCAGAGGTGAAAAGTGAGGTATAGAAATCATATACCATGTCTTTGATGCCCTCAGAGTCTTCACATCTAGATCCATCAACTTTACGAAGAAATTTGATTATGTTATTTCTTCTTCTTGCTGAAGCTCGAGCATGGAAGAAAGAGGTATTACGGAGCCATTCTACCCTTAGACCGTTGTCTAGCCATGATCTCTTCTCTTTCAAACAACTCACTCAGTCTCTTCTCTATATTTCTTTCTTCGTCTGAGTTGTTGCACACAATATTATTTCTACGGATACTAGTTAGCCTTTTCTCTAGTTTCCTTATCTCCTTTTTAATTGAGCCAAAAGAGACTCTGCTCCACTCTTGCAAGCTGCATGACAATTTATTAAGAGCAGACCATGTGTTATCTATAGAAGTAATGCCTCCTTTGTGCACCTTCCAATATTCCTCAATCATATGATCATAATCAGAGGCTCTCATCCATGCTGCTTCAAACTTGAAGGACTGTTGGATTGGTTCATTGCGGACCTTTTCATCTCTTCTCGCTATTGTCACCAAAATGGCATAATGATCCGAAGTGGTGGTGATGATGTTCTCTACTGTGCAATCGTCAAAAATCTGCATGAAATCCCCATTGGCAACAACCCTATCCAATCTGACCCTGATATTACGTTTGCCCTCTTGTCTATTCAGCAAATTGTTGTCGTGATCAAGGGGTGGTTACCAGAATTGTCACATATTCATGCTTAGACACCTTGAATAATAGAACGGATCTGAACTGACCAGTGTTGCTAACTATTACTACATAATGACCGCTAAGATATATGAGTAATGGAACTTATCGTCGTTGGTAAATATAAAAGGCAATTACAAACGCGATAGTTCCATCCGACCAGGGTCGCGACAATAAGTTGGTGGCATGCGCGCGCGCGACCCTCGCACGACCCAGCCACGCGGATGGTTTGTTATCCCCACTCAGGTACGTCGACATGTTTCTTTCACAGAGAGAGGGAGAACAGACATAGTCACATAGGGCAATATGTCATGGTGCAATGCATCGAGGGTGGCTTCTCCACAAGGAGCCCGACAGCAAGCCTACAAGGGAGCCCAGAAGGCCCAACAAGGAGCCGGCAACAGAAGAAAGCCCGGGGAATCAGATAGATGCCTAAGGATCATCTTGGACCCCAGTTTAAGATGCCAGCGGACAAGATTGGATCTCCCTCTTTGTAAAAACCTAGCCCCTATTGTGCATATAAGAGAACGGCTACAGGGCTCTCAGGTAGACCTAGACTCCCAGTAGCATGTAATCCCTCGCACGAGGTATATCCGTCATGAATACAAACATAAAACATGATGTAGGGTATTAGTCCTCATCGAAGGCTTAAACCTAGGTAAACTATGCGTGCGGGCTCGGTTCTAGTACTAACAACCTTCCGCTCCGTCAGTTGGCGTGCCAGGCAGGGGCTTCGCTATTTGGAGAATAGACCGAGATCGAAGATCTGTATATGCCCAACGACTTCATGACACACGAGGCCATGGACTGCCCCAACCACCGACCCGGGCCGCCATCCGCCAGATCCAATCGAGCCTCAATCTACCGCCATAGCCGCCGCGGTGCACCCCACCATGTGGCTGCGTACCACACCGCCTAATACCCCAGGAGCCATTGCCAAAGGAACCTTAGGAGGCAAGATGCCCACACTCTCTGCCGGCAGCAAGGAGGGACAGAGGGCTACCAGCGGCTAGGGTCCCCTCCCCATCACCCACAGAAGAAGGGAATGAGAGCCATTTTCAAAAGAAACACCTGCAAGTGTTTGGTTCGATGAAAATCTCCAGGCTTTATTGTCCAGTTATTGCTAGCTAATAAGGCTCTATCTGAATTGGGGAAAAAAACATCTCTGCATTTCAATTTGACACTAGGCAAACACGATAGGCAGATGTCATCGAATGCTGACGGTTTGTGTTACAACTGCATTAGCTTCTAGTCTATGTTTTCAGTGCTACTTGAAATAATTAAGTCACGGAGCTTGCTGCCCTGTACATGTTTCTACTACAGTCCTAATGTTGTTGAGGTACAACATGCAGCATACAAGCTACAAACCTGAAAATGACCAGGTTGTCAGTAGATCTGAAAATGATCAGGTCGTTGGCTATTGGCATAGAAGCTTGACCCAGAGAGCTACTGACATGGCACTAGGTTGCCATCTGTATGTACATCACAGCAACCCCCCTGGAACATTCGCTCTCGGGTCTCTGTTCTGAATTGATTGGCCATTGATAACCCGGAGCAAGAAACAAAGAATTCTTCCCACGTATATGAATGGTACTTGCCACCATGCTTCAGGTCTTCTTCAGCTAATGCACGAGGGGTGATCCACCATTTCAGAGGGCGGCTGATCTTGCTGCCGAGGTGTGCCAACTTCCAAGAAATCCTCCGCGTTGATGTCGATTCCTTCCCACTCCACATCTGCTGTATTCGAGTTAAGGAGTCCAATGGTTTCACATCATAACATGGTATGCTATACTACAGCATAAGCACATCACAGGTTATATAGACTGTTAGAAAAAGGATACGTGCTGTCTTCCACATGTCAGTAATGCTAACCCCTGTGTCTGATAAGAGCCAGTAATCCGCATCAGTCTGCACAAAAAAATGGTTCTTGTTTTATGTAGTGCTTATGCAGGAAATTTTAGCTAACGATGGCAATAGTAGGGTATGGGTGGGTACAACCTCCTTCTGCCCAAAGCCATACCCACATAAACCTTCTATACCCACTCACTTCAATACCCATGGGGCACAAATTGGCACCCATGCCTATAACTATCGGGTATCCTATACCCAATGAGTATCCAGTGGGTACAGTATATAGCATTTGCATTCAAAGTAAGGTCGGGAAATGAGTCTATAATTCAAGTGATGATGGGTAGTCTAGCACTGGCGTGACCTCCGGGGTATCCATTGGGTTACACATGGGTGCAATTTTATACCCATGCTCTACCCATATATTTTACAGGTATGGATACCCATTACCCATGGGTGCAAAGTTTCACCCATGCCCACTGTTTTCAGTTAGGGTACCCATACCCATGGGCAAAACTGCCATCCTATTTCCAAATGAGCTCAACTGTGATATAAAAGATGCATCCATAGCAGATAAAAGTGCATTCTTTACTTTCTTTAGAACTAATTTGGGTATTCCTAATATTGGTCACGAGATGCTCCTCTCTCCATGTGCAATTGAATCTCGCAGTTTATCAGTTTTTCAGGGTTAATCTTACAATTATCAAAGAACAGGTGGTAGAATGAAAGAATAAGTAGCAGGACTTACAAAACACTAAGCAGAACAGAAAATACCAGAGCTAATTGTATAGGACAAGAATGACATAGTGAAGAGGAAGTAGTGAAGTTGAGCATTTGGTGCAAACACGTATTACTGTAGTTAGAATAGGTTGTGGCCAAATTTACTTTTAGATAAATATGCTGCAAAAATTTATTGCATGGAAGTGAACTTACATCAAGTTCAGAAGGGACAATCTTCATCATCCCTCCAATATCCTGTGTAGTAGGAGCGTCAGGGGGCATTATCAGCCCTTGTTGAACATTCTCCATCTCCACATCTTTGTTAGATCCTGTAGCGAGTGGTGTCCTAGGATTCTCTAGATAATCCATGCTTATTGTTTGTGCAGGCCTTGGAGGAGTCTCCATGCCACTCATCTCCTCAAATTGACTTAAAAGAAATAGATAATGATATTAATATTCGCATCAAGTTAGAGCTCTAGATTCTGAAGTTTTGATGCTAGGGATGTTGAATGGGCATATACCTAACTAGGTACACATCTATCGGACCCATAGTGCTTCTTAGAACAATCCTATATCTCCTTTGAGGATAATCATTCACCTGCATGGGAACCGAAGATGCCGTCATTAACAAAATGTAGTATTCATCTAAGTCCTAAAGGTGACAAACATATTGTTAATACTCACCTCATCAGGATCTGGGACTTCAAGCGTTGTACCATGAGGTGCTTTTATTGCGATTAGTGTCTGATTCTGCAAATTAAAGCACAGTACTTTTAATTTACTTGATTTATAGAGATGATACCGGTCATTTAACAAGTATTGCTAGAGATCAAAAAGTACCTGAAAGCATGGCAAAGACTTGATATCATCTTCCGTGACATACAGCCATCTGTGGGAAACGAGGTGAAAGAATAGATTATAGACTTGCATTAAAGTCCTAAAAGTCTTAAGTAACTATACGACAAACATAAATACTCTTTTAGGGAGGAAAGGTGGGCCACTTACTTTTGGTTATTTTCGTCTTCAGTGAGCTCTCTTAACTTGTCTCGCATTTCACTGGAAGAAACAATCAAGTTAGTGAAAGAATAATAACATCAGGAACTTAAGTAACTCGTCGCCAACCTTATTTGTCCGTCTAAGCTATGCTCTTGCAGTGTGAGGGCTTCAATATCTCCCTGCAGATGACAGATATAAAGAATCATAATTTTTGAGAGCTGAGGAACTAAAGAATCTCCTTGTCCACAAATCATGTTGCATGTGAAGCAACATTTGTCATAACTAAAACGGCACAAAGCATGATACCTGTAAAATGGACATATCATCGCTAACTTCACCTGGTCGAGAGTCATCGATTCCTCTGCAAAAGAGCATACATAATGTAAGTGATGACCACAAAATACAAGTAATAGATATGGACACAGGATAACTTACTTCCAACGAATGTTGTTCTTAAGCTTCTTTTCTATCAGCCCTATTCCTTCGAGGACATTAGTAATGTCATATATACGTCTTTTTTGTACCTGCACAAAGGCAGCACATTTACATGACTAACACTAGAAAGGATCTCTTGAAACAAGAGAAGCAAACTACCAACCTCTAGCGTTTCTGCAGCATTATTCAAATCAACCATGCCACCAGGTGCACCCTTTAGCAAGTTCAGGAACTTTTTTGTCAATAACCCTAAATGGACAACATCAACAAATGATGATCAGCTAACAAGCTACTGATAAAATACCAGTCCAGAAAAACAATAGTCCAAAATTGAATGTTCCATCTAACCTAGGGAGCTATCATAACGGCAGCCACCAACAGGAGTAGCTGGATTGCCCGGAGAACCTAGAAATAGTATTAACATGAGCGACTTGGTCAAAGATGAATATGATTCATGGCTGACTGAATCCACATCACTCACCGGAAAACAAAGGGGTCTGAGGACAAGATTTCTGGCCTTTTGCAGCTTTAGGCTTGGCGGACATTTTAGAACCTTTTCCCGAAGGTGGTGTAGGAATTGGACTGTTTGCTGCATTAGCATATCCAGGGCTCATCATCCAATCATTTGATTCAGCTACCTCATTGTCTTCTCTGTTGTGTTTCCGCTTTAACTACAAAATGAAACATTGTTATTAGATTTATGAGAAAAGCACGCATTGCATCAAAAGCGTTAATGAAAACTGAATGTTGGTTAACAGGTGTTCTCCAAGCTTTCTGCAGCTACTACAAGAATGCGGCGTCGATAAAGCATGTAAGGTTCAAGAGAATCGGCCAAGGGGGAAGAGAGCCATAAGCGAATAGGGTTCTGGAACAAAATATTTATAAAGTGTAACTGTTAGTAATGGATCCTAGGGAAGTTAGTGGAATATGATTTGATAGTTTTATAGCCTGGATTTGCACTTGTTAATCAATAAATTAAAAAAGACTCCGAATAAATAGACAAGTCATAACAACTGTCATGAAACAGTAACGGGTTTTTTCAGTAAGAAGAAAGTGTTTTTGTTAAGTGTATATTATCTCTGTAGCTCTTTCAGTAAATTAAAATGTTCTGCCTGTTTTCACACAGTGTGGGGAATTTAGCTAAAAGATGAAACTCATAACATAGTCTGCACTTCAATTATGAGAGTTGTGGAGAATGTCTTAGCTTTGGGGTTTTCAAGCCAGCACAACATGTCACACAATCTAATAGCTTGAGCCACTATAAGTTGCAAGGAGCAGAATGGAGTAAGTCGCCAATTGAGAGCAGCGGGGAACATTATATGCTTTGTAGGAGGATGGCGCATATGAAAGTGTGACTAGGTAGAAATCAAGTTAAGAAACATGGGCCTTCCCATAAAATCGTACCGATTTCCACATAGTATTTAGTTCGTTCAGATTCCATCTTAGACACTCTTCTAGAAATAGCGGAACGCATCGTAAATAAATGCTTTGTTGGACTGCGCCACAACCCACCGGGTAGCAAAAATTCAGCAATTTCGCCTCCAACACATCCAAAGACAACCATTCCCCTCCACCCCAGCTTGGCCGTTCCCAAATCTACAGTGACATGCTCCAGCATTGCTACGCTCGATCTACTGCGGCGGCTCAGATGAGCTCCCCTCGTGGCGAGCGGGACCGGTTGCGTCCTAAGAAGCGTCCAACTGAAGAACCGAAACAGTGAATCTATCGAGAAAGCTCCTTGACAAGCCCACCCCAACTCACTGGCGTCCTGAGGACGACGGCCTCCGTCATCTCGGCGGTGCCGCCGCCGTCGGCCGGGCCGAAATGGTGGTACTCGCCAGGCGGCGACCCGAACGGCTGGTAACGCTGCAGCAGCACGCGCGCCGCGCCCTCGCTGCTGGTCCCGCCGGCGGCGGCCGCCATGGTGATCCGAGGCGCGGCGCGGCGCGGCGCGACGGATGGATCGGGCCGGGCGCGGGGCGGGGCGCTTAGGGTTTGGATCTGAGGATTTTTGGCGGCAGAGGGGGAGAAAACGAGGGAAAGGAAGGGGTGGAGGGGGGAGGAAGGGAGGGAAAATCGTGGTTTCGGTAGTGGAGGATGAAAGTTATGGCCTCGGACAGATGATGGGGGTACTGTTTTTGAGGACTGGGACGGGAAATGTAAGCGGTCATTCTTTTTTACATCTTCTTACGAGTGTTCGATTTATGATCACTCGAATGAAATAAGCCTTTGGCTTCTTCACTGGGAGAAGTGTGAGCATCGAACAAGACTGACTAGCGGTGTACTGGTACAACAGGAAAACGAACACATTCTTGACACGTCATGTGGCCTGGTGATTCTAATGTATCATGGGAGATAAAAGTGAAACGTGGCAGCAGGGAAAACGTCTCTGTTGAAAAAAATTAAAGCAAGGAAAAGGCCCAACTGTGTGGGGCCCGGGTTCCGTGGAGAGATGCGCGCGCTTTTATTTGGACGCGACTAGCCACCACACGTTGGCTGGGTAGCGTTCCAGAGCACACACCTAAATATGGCAGTGGTGTCCCGCACCCTTTGCCAGCTGTCATACAAAAAAGGAAAGAAAGGGTCCTAACCACCATCGCACATGGCGCAGGATCCTACCCCCGATCATAACCGCTCAGCACCTCCCTCCCGGCGCCTCCTGCATTAGAATGTAAGTTTCCTCCTCCCCAACGGCCTCTCCAGCTCCACCTTTTTTTCTGGACAGAGAAAACACAAGTCATTAGAGGAGGCAACTTACACAAAATCCATTAACAAAAGAAACAAGCAGGAGGAAGCATGCATGCAAGCCTTATGTTTCGCTACAATAAACAGCAACCTTCATCCTGTGTATAGGCACTTCAACTAGCAACTCGGGGTGTTATTTTAGGCAAGTTTGAGTTGAGACACATGCAACTCATGGATTTGGGGGAAAATTAGAAGAAAAATGAAGCCAGTGGAGAACAGGGTTTTTTTGCTGATTTTCCCTTTGGGTTTTTGAGCTGGCTCGTGTTTTTGGTTTGCAGATATGTAGGTTGCATGAGCAGCTGTTTTGGTTGTTGTGGGTATTCTGATTTTTTTTGGGCAACTTGTGTTGAGATGTAGGCAGGTACATAAAGCTTTTTTTGGCAACTGATGGTTTGTGGTAAAATAAAAACTAAACTCTAAAAAAAGTGCATCCAAAAACTAAATCAGAATAAAAGTCCTTGAAGATCAGTTTTTGTCGGCAAGATACATAATAGATTGAGGCAAAAACGGTGTAATTTGTAGGCAAACTGTGTGTTTGATTGCAGGCAAACAATTGTGATGATGAACACAGGGCAGAGGAAAAACTATTTCCTAATGGGTGATAAAATCAGGCAATTACGTATGTAGCTTGTAGGCAACTGTGATGTTTCTCAGGCAATTTTTGGATCGAACTCGTGGGATTGTGCATATTCTGTGACGGGGAAAAGCAGACAACTATCTTTTTACTTGTGTACATGCAAATGTGTGTATAGTTGCAAAGCAACTATTTGAGGATCTGATGAGACAGTTTGTGGGCTGCAAAAAAAAATATCAGCCCAAAGACCCATTTAGGGGGAGCTACCTATGTCAAAACAGCTTGACTTGCATTCTGGTCTCTAATGGGTAAAAAGCAGGCAAGTCCCCTGCTTGTTTATAGGCAACTCTGATTTTGATTGTAGTCAAGTCTATAACCAAAATACTGTGGAATTAATCTATTAGTTATTTAGGATCAAAAAATGTAGACTTGATCTATTAGTTATTTTGATTGTAGGCAACATAGTTAGTAGTAGTATCAATTTATAATTCATTGATCTAGGTATTGATGAGTTTAGCGAGTACACAAGCAAAAAAAACTGAACCATATCAGGCAACTAAGTAACAGAAACATTAGACAAAACTCTAGGATTGTTCATTATCTGATTATTTTGAGGAAACTACCTACAATGTGTTGGGCAAGTTTTGAAAAAAAATTCAAGCAACCTGAGTAACAACCATTAACAAAAGTAGTAAAAGATGAAGCATACAGTGACAATTTGTTCATATTCAGAATTCAAGTGTAAAATTAGCCTGCAGCTTAGATGAAATGTGAAGGAAATAAAAGATGAGCAAGACTCATGTGTTATTTGAGGCAACTACCTAGAGAGTGTTGGGCAACTTTTGGAGACTAAAAACCCACTAGGATTGAGTTTCATACAATCTGGCGCTTGTATGAAAGCTTCCAGTGCACTAACTTAAAACAACTAGCAAGTCAAGGAACCATATCACACATCCTAAGTAACAAAACTAACACCCAATTAGGCAAATTCTGAATCATATCAGGCAACTAAGCAACAACCCGTAGGCAAGTTTTGTTAATTAGGATCAATAGCTACACACAGAAAACCTCAAATCCTCCACTCTGGGATAACCAATTACCGAGATCTGGCCGATAAAAAAATCCCTCATAGTAAAATCCTCAAAATCTCCAACAATGGTTGGTGTGCGCGAGTTTTTGTACTCTAAAGTAAGCAAAGGTTGAACGCAGTGGCTAGTAGCAAGATTCGACAAACTAGCAGAACAATTTGGCAAGATCTCATAGCAAGACTCTGGCAACTCACTCGACAAATCCGAGCAACTAGCGCTAACACGCTTGCAACTCCACCCCCCCCCCTCCTCTTAAAAAGCCCTACAACTCCATCGTAAAGGCGGTCTAGCAAATTCGTACCGCAATTCTGGCAACCCATGACACAAATCCGGGCAACTCGTACTCACGTCTTTGACAAAAAAATCCATCATGCTCCATTGTACAAAACGATGAGCAGGGAAGATCTATTGTTAGATGCCGCACCACGTGAGCCTCGCCACTGTCCACATAGTCGCGACCACATTCTTACCGACGATTTGAGGCATGATTCTCCAACCCCTAATGATGGTGCTTCTCGCGACACAAATCCGGGCAACTCGTACTCATGTCTTTGACAAAAAATCCATCATGCTCCATTGTACAAAACGATGAGCAGGGAAGATCTATTGTTAGATGCTGCACCGCGTGAGCCTCGCCACCGTCCACATAGCTGCGACCACATGCTTACCGACGATTTGAGGCATGATTCCCCAACCCCTAATGATGGCGCTTCTGGCTCTCGCTCTCCGCCGCTAGAGATCGCGATGCACAGACGCGCAGTGTCCTTCCCGTTCGAGCCCTCGCTTTGTGGACACAGCACAGAGAAGCGGCGCCCTCAGACGCCTCCCTTCTGCCTCTGCCTGGTGGTCACCGCGCGCGGATGGAGCTCTGACCCCTCTACCCTCTTTGTGTAGGGGCACGGATCGGGTTGTTTCTCTCCCCCTTCCCAATCTACGGTGGACCTCCGGCGGAGCGTGCCTCAAAATGACAAAGCGGTGGTGGATTTGGGCGAGGCGACGAGGGGATTGTGGTGGTGGATTTGGATGAGGGGGAGGTGGCGGCGTGTTTGAGCAGCGAGCAAAAATGCCACGGAACAACCACTCTCCTTTGATTTCCAAATGTGTGCGCGGGTGGAGTGGAGAGAGGACGTGGGTGTTGTGGTAGGCCCCTGCGGTCGGCGAGGCAAATATCATCGCACCTGGTCCGACGACTCGCAAACCACACCCGTGCCCCGACCATGGAACACCTAGAGATCATATGATTTAGATCCCACAGTCACGAAGGGTGTGCGCCCGAGACAGTAAAAAGTTCGCTTGGGATTTGGGTTTTTTATTACCATCTAGACATAGCTAGCTGGCAACCGTTCTCATTAAGCGCACACCCACACAAATGAAGTTCCTGTTAGAATCCTCTTAAAAAGTCTTTTAAGTCAATTTGTTGTGTAATAAATATCTCTGGACAACTTACACCGGCATCTCTAGCAACTAACTATTATGCGTTGGGCAAGTCTTCGACGAAATAATATCCAACACTCTCAAGAGCGGATCTTTGGGCAACTCATGGCATCATCTCTAGCAACTAACTATTTGTGTTGAGCATGTTTTTAACACTTTCTGCTCGAATCATCCAAAATTGTAGCTTAGGATGTAAGTGGCGCGTCCGCCAGACAATGTGGTACTGGCCGCTTCGGCTGCATGCTAATTAAGGGAACGTTTGGATCCCTCGCCTGATTGCCTCGCTAGGCAGGGCCAGCCTTGCCGGCGGAGGCGAGCCGAATCGGCTCGCTCGATGAAACGCGAAAAAAGCTGGAAACCGCTGGTAACGAGGCGTGCTCGCCCAGAAACCAAATGCCCCGCTTCCTTGCTGGGCCAGGCTAGGCGAGCGCTTGCCTGAGATCCAAACGTTCCCTAAATGGGTTTTGCCGCAGCCACTTAAGGCGTCTCACAATTAAGTGGTGCTGCTCCATGGTCTCTCACGCCTAACCTGTTGCACCCTCTTGTCATCCTTGCACGGCCGCAAGCTCACAACTATTCTGTTACGCTGTAGTTCTTATTACTAGAACAGAGACAACAAAGAAGAACGCCATGTAACTAACCAATGAGATCCACTGAAACAAGCGAGCACACCATTCCCCATTCAAGATGTGACAACTCTAGTCTATCAATGTCATGTTAATTTCAAGTAAAAAAATTCAAACTAAACTCTGGCTGGTGCTACATGCTAACGTTCACAAGCAAGATCCAAAAAATCGACACTAGCAAGATTCCTTAACGCATCAACACATGCATTCTGATTCTAAATGCCTTGGTGATGTCATGACGAGTGACGCTATGGTGCCATGTAACGTGCAACTAGCCTCTGGCAGCTTCGCTGACCCTGCCAGATTGGTGTTGAGGACATCCTGGTGCACTAGCTGCTCGTCGTCTTCCGTTCGGCCAGCCAAGAGCCACGACGACATGTAAAGTGTTCTGGCGCTGCTCGGTATGGTGTTGTGCTCTTCAGCCACTTAATTCAGCGGCTCGCCGTGATAATTTTT